AATTGCCTTTTTTAAAAAATTATATAAAGTATCTATTCTTTTAAAAAAGTATTTTAGCTAATATTATAACTAAAATTATTAATTTAGCTAAAATTAAGAATATGATGAATAATATGTAACAAATATGATTTATATTCAAAATTCTAAGTCCTAAAATTATATAATAAATTTGTTATATTAAATCCATATAGCTAATTTTTTAATTTTTAATGCTAGTAAAAAATAATATTAATATTAGTTATATTATATAGAGATAAGTTTAGCAAAAGCTAATATTTAACAAATTATATGATTTGAGAAAATTGCAGTTTAAAATTATTAATTAATTTAGTAAATTGCAATTTATTTTGTCATATTTAAAGATTTTTAAATTTAGTTTTTTGTAAACTAGAATAAAATTTTATAAGGAATTTATTAAAAGTATTAGTTTTTTTTAGAAAATTTATTTCACTTATTAAATATAATAATAAAAAAATATAACAATTATAAATTATAAAATATTATATTTTTTTAATATGCTATATATAAATTTTTTTTTATTTTCTGAAAAATTAGATCAATAAATATATAATTATAATAAAATTTAAAATTAGAATTTTAGCAGAATCCCAGTTTTTGCTAAATTAGTTCTCATATAATCTATATATATATACTTATATATAAATAAAAATTGTTAATAAAATATAAAAAATTATAAATTTTTATTTATAGAATTTATTCAGATAAATTTTAAATAGATATTTAAATTTATAAATTATATAATAGATAATTCTATTGAAAAATCTAAATATTTTAAAATTATATACTATAATATAATAATTAATATATATATTATATCAAAATATTTATATTAAAATATTATATATAGTTAATTTTTATATATTATAAAATTCTAAAAATAAGCATTATATAATATTTTTCTTTTATAATAATTTATTTATTTATTATATAATTTTATTATATTACAGTCTACTCTTATCATAAGAACTTTATGTTTTAGACTTCAACTTTACTATAAGACTATAGTGAAGATTTTAAGAGATTTTATTAGTCAATTCACTATAATAAGAGACTTTTATTATGTTTGTTCAAAAATTTCATTATATTAAAAATTCACTATATCAAGAATTGACTATATTTATCACATAAATACTAATAAATATATAGATATTAACTCTTTATAATAAAAAGAAAGAAAATTACCAAAAAAAATTTTTTTTGTTTTATTAAACTAATTATTATTTTTTAATAAAATAAGTTCAGATTTAACATAAATTTAAAAAAAATTTTTTTGGTAGTTTCCTTCTTTTCTAATATAAAAAGTCTAAATCATTTATAGTTGTAGAACAAAACTCTAAACCTATTTTGGTAAAAGTCAAAACTTTTTAGAAATTATTTTAACAGTTTCGATAAGGTTTTGACAATTTTGATAGTCTTGAAAGTTTTGGAAGTTTTGATAAAATCTTTGCAAATTTGATAGTTTTAATAGATTATTATATCACAATATAAAATAAATGATTTTTTTTTGCTTTTTATTTTAAATTAAATCAAAATTCCAAAATAATATATTATTTATTAAGTTGTTTTAAATTTAGAAGCATTGCTACTTATTGAAAAATTAAAAAATTACCTTATGAAGAAGATAATAATAGAGGCTGGAATTGGATTTATTTTTATATTTAGATTTATTTAATTTTAAAATTAGATTCAGATTTAAAACTGAATATCTAATCTTTATATAAAATCTGTGCAGATCAAATAAATTTTTTAAAGATTAATAATTATATATATCATATACCTGATTTTGAGCTAATTTTATATCTGAAACTAGATATATCTGAATTTAAATCTGAATGTTAAATTCAGTTCTAACCTCTAGATGATAATTTTTCAAATGAAAGTTTAATAGATGAAAAAGAAGATAAGTACTATCATAAGTTTAAATGAAGAAAATATGAAAGATAAATAATATAATTGGATTTGATAAAAATAAATTAATTCAATTTAAATGTGATTTTTTTTCTTATATAAATATATGATATTATAAAAAAATAAAAAAAGTGATCTTTACTATATATAATTTGCTTATCTTGTAAAATAAAGAATAATAAAATTTTAAATTCAATAATAATATTTTAATATCAAAAGATTTTGATAGATTTTGCTATCTGTCAAAACTTTTGCCACTCATTGCAACTTTTACAATTTATATTTAACAAAAATATTTGATAAAATATTTTAATGGATTTTAATTTCGATGCCTATTAAAACCTTCAAGTTTTGTCTGACAATCTTAATATCATTAAATGCTTATTTTCAGGATTATATAATAAATAATTTATTTAAAAAAATATAAAATCTTTATAAAATATTTTATTTTCAAATATATTAATTAAAGAAATATTAAAAAAAATATTAAAGAAATATATATAATTTAAAAATAATAATTTTATTGAATTTATTAATAGAAATAATATTATTAATATAAAAAGCTTATATCAAATAATATTCATAATAAAACTTTAGTGAATTTCTTAATAAATAAATTAGATTTATTAATTCTTTTAGATTTAAAATTCAAAATTGAATATATAATTAAGATAAATAAAATAAATCATTTAATAAATTCAAAAAAATTATATTTATATTTAATTAAAATTAAATAATAATAAAATTGTTATTTATTAATTCATTTTTAAAATAAGTAAAGATCAATAATTATATTATTTTATTAAATTCATTTTATAAATAATATAAAATTAGCAAATTTATTTGAATTTTTTATTTAAATAGTTTATTCTAGATTTTTATAATTTATTAATATTGAATAAAAAATTTTAAACTTTTAATAAATAAAAATTTTAAAAAATATTTCTTAAAGCATATAAATTTTTATAAAATAGCTTAAATAATATATTTATAAAAATAAAGATCAGTTTTATTTATTTAAAACTTTAGATTTTTTATAATGAATAAGATTTATTGATATTATAAATTATTTTATTATATTTAATTTAAAATATAAAAAATAAATTTAATTATTAATATATATTATATTTAAATATTTGAAATGTTATTAAAGAAATAAAAAAATTTGTTTAATTAAAATTTTTAATTACTAAGATTATATAATAATAGCTATTAAAATATTAAAAATTAAAAATTGATAAAAAAATTATTTTAATTTAAACTTTTTATTTATTAATTAAATTACCTTTGATATAATAAATTAAATTATATATTAGAATAAATTATACATATATATTTAATATATATAATATTTTTACAAGTTTTTAGTTATAATTAAATATAAAATTTTTTAATTGTAATTAATTTTGATTCATTACTTAAACTTATTCTTTATATATATTTTTAAAATTTCAAATTATTTATATTTATATTTAAATGATAATTATAATATTTATTAAGTATATATAATATAAATTATTTTATAATTATATATAATTTTATAAAATTACTTTTATAATTAATAAAGATAATTTTATAAAAATTAACTATTAAAAAATTTGTTTTTAATAAATCATATAAATCTAAAAATTATTTTAAATATAATACTATTATTAGTTCAGATTTTATTATAAGTTAAATAAGTCTTTTAGTGAACTAATTTTATATTTATTTTTAAAAAATCTTTTATGAAATATACTATTTATATGAATTAAAATAATAATTATAAGAATTAAAGCAGTAACTAAATAAATTATTATAATTTAAAAATTTGATAAAATTTAAAAAAAATTAACATTTCATATAATTTGTGATTAATTTTACTAAATTAATTTAATTTCTATATAAATAAATACAATTATTTGAAAATGTAAAGAAAATATATTTTTAATACAATTAATAATAGATTATAACTAAAAAATCTATGTTTTGTAATTTTTTTGACCATATTTAGCAGGAATAAAATTATTTTTTAGCTTTTAACCATGTTTGGTAAGAGTTTTAATAGCTAGTTTTTGACATACTTATTGATTTGTAATTTTAGAAGGTTTAGAGAGAAGAGTTTTTAAATAAATATAAATATTCAATTGTTACAACTTTTAAAATATAATTAAGCTTTTTATCAAAAAGTTTATTATATATAAAATTTGACTTTTATAATATATATTATTATTAGAACAATATTATTTATATGGAAGTATTTTTAGGAAAATCAGGTTCTGAGAAATTTTTGACTAAAATTAAGAATCTAATACATTTTAATTTAATAATATCAATAATTAAAATGCAATAAAAATCTCAATTTCGCTAAAAAATTCTCAGAACCTGATTTTCTTAGCAATCAACTCATTATTTTTGTTATTTATGTATATAAATAAACTTTATTTTATATAATTAACAATAAAATAGTCTAGTTTGTTTTTATTTATAGTAATTTATTAAAATAGTGTTATTTGTTTTAAAAATTTAATACAAATAAGGTTATTTCAAAAATTTTTTTTATATAATAATAGATTATACAATAACATTAGTAAATAAATCATAGAAAAATATTATGACATATATGTAATTAAAATATTATAAACGTAAATTTATAAAAAATAAAAAGACTAATTTAACAATAAAATAAACTTTTTTTTTTTACTTTTTTTTAAAAAAATTGTATTATTTAAATTTGTTTACTTTAATAAAAATATTTAAACCTTCATCTTTAATAAATTTAATCTTTTTTACTTATATCACAATCAAATTAATAAACAAAATTATTATCATTGTCTTTATTTTAATGTTATCCTATTTATCCTTAACAAAATGTTTCAAAATCGTTATATTTCCTTTAATAAAGAATAAAATTACATTAGGCAATGATATAAGGCTTCTAAAATTTTTTTGTAACCATCTTTGAATATTGGAATGAATGGTATTGTAGATATTAATGATTATCTTTATAATACATATTAATTTTTTTTTAGCAATATTTAAATTATAGAAATAATAACATAGATGAAACTAATAATGATTATATTAACAAAATGGATATTTATAATGAAAAAAATATAAGTGGTGAAGAAATAAACAGGAAAGAATCATATGAAAGAAAGGAATCATATAACGAAGCAGTAATATATGAAAAAATAACAAGTGAAGAAGATTTTAATGAAGAAATAGAAAGTGAAGAGGAAATAAATAATAAAATAATTGTTGATGAGACTTTCAATTATAATCAAATACTATGATCAATAAATTCAGATTATGCATCCTATTTTAATAATACCATTAAAGCTTTGTTTTTTTGCTAAATGTATATATTCATATTAATCATTTTTAGTGATTTTAAAATTAGAATATTATATTAAATTGTTAATAATTTAGGAAATACAGGTAAAGGTTGCTATTGATTCTAATCAAATCTCACCAAATTTACATTTTTAGTAAAAAAACACCATCCATGTCTAAAAATATTAGAGAAGCATATTATTTATCTACATATCTTCAATATTATTTAGTATATTTTAAATAATTCTTTATTATTTAATAAAATGCATTTTAGACCAGGACAAGAAGTTACAAGAAATTAAGAACTATGGTATAGAAATATTTGGAAAGAATCATTGAGATTTGAATAAGCTTCTATTATAATTAACCAAGGTAGTTAAAGTATTAAAATATTCTTTAATAGGTTATTTGCTAAATTTTCTTTCATAAAAGTATGCTATTCTGAGGATTTTGTAATCTATAGATCTAATGATTCTTTAAAAAGAATCAGTCATATATTAAAAATTGTTCAGCAAGACAACTAACTAAAAATTAGGATGCAATATATTTTAAGATATGAAAAGTTGCTAAAGAATTTGCAAAGTAATACTCAAAAAGAAAAATCATGTGAAGGTGAAATCTGATTCTTTGACTAAGAAATGAATAATACAATTGTAATCATTGAATTGCAATCAATTATTAAATATATACTAATTGATATTCTTTATGATAATATTAGTAATGAATATTCAATTAAGATTCATGAGATCCTTTATAAACATAATAGATGTTAAAAATTAAGAGGAATCAAATATTTATATTAGCATCTTTTAGAATTTGCTGTATTCATAGTATCAGCAATGAATCTTTTAATTTACAAGTTTTATATTGACCTTTATTATGATAATTTTGGAATATTTCAAAATGTCTACCATTCACTAGGTAGAATTTATATCTAATTTAGTAATATATCATTTGCTGAAAGGAAATATCTTAAAAATTACTTTATATTTAATTTTGTTCTATTTAGTGGCTGTTTTGATGAGTTTATTAAACCTTTTATTAAAGAAATAAAGGTATTAGAGAATGGAAAGATCATGAAAATTTATGAAACTGAATGCCTTGTAATTGCGAGTCTAGATAATATTACAGCTGACTTGTCATAAGAAAATAATTTAGCTGAAATAAAGGGTATAATGTTAACAGGAGATGTTATACTTGTAATGAAATAAAGGATTCTCTAACATCTGATAATCTTGATTTATCATTGATTTCTCATTATCATCATTAAATGAACAAATAATTCAATTATTTATTTATGATATCTATATTAATAGAATGTAAAGAAATTGCTGCAAACTATAGAATATGCTTATAATCTTTAATATTTGATCTATTACAATGGAAAAAATATCTACAATTATCACAAGATATTTACCATGCAACTGCTAGAAAAGTTTTAAGATTTTTTAAAATAACTATTAATGTATTTTTGTCAGAAGGAAAATTAGTATTTATTATAAATTGGAAGACTTTTAAGTATTTGAAAGTTTAGTATAAATTATCAAATCCAATTTTTTCACATTAATAATTTATGATGGCAGATTGTTTTCAGTTAGCAATATTTCTATTTATTTTAAATAGATTCCTAAAGCCTCAATATTTTAAACAATCAGAAATTAACAATATTCAACAACAGATGGGTATTATTCATAATAATTTGGTAATAAAATATTGGATAAAATGTTGGATATTAATAATAAAAGCAATGACATTTGTATTTAAGTTTTCTTTTACAAAAGATGACTATGTTAAATTATGTGAATATTTAGATAATGAATAAAAGTACTTATCATAGGTATTATGAATTAATTTTATTAATATTTAAAGCTCTGAATGGTTTAGTTCAGTTCAGATTAGATGCTAATCCATATCTGAACCAAAAATTTCAGTTCAGTTCAGTTCAGATTATTAATCTTAAAAATACCAATCTGAATTCGAATTGAACTACAAACTGGTAAATCTAAACTGAACTGAAATTTTCAGATTAATCTAAAATTACGATTCAATTATATAAGGAATACACAATTTATATGCAAAACTCTAGAAGAATTGCAAAAAATCGCAAATTTCTCTTCGAGGTTCGTGAAATTTGAAGAGAAATCGCAATTTTTTGCAATTCTTCAAGAATTTCGCAATAGTTTTTGTGAAATACTAAGAAAAATCGCAAAATTGCGATTCTTCAAGGGTTTCACGATTTTTTTGCAAAATTCAAAGAGAAATCGCAATTTTTTGCGACTCTCCAAGAGTTTCCTAGAGTTTCACTAAATTTTTGCGATTCTCTTAGAGAATTGGCAAATTTGCGATCTTTCAAGAGTTTTGCATATAATCGAACTGAACTTTCAGATTAATTCAAAATTATCGGTTCAGTTCAGATTTTTTTCAGTTTGGATTTGAATTATAATCTGAAAAAAGTCTGAATTGAACCAAAAATTTTCAGATTGATTTTTATGCAATCTGAAACTGAACTGATCCAAACTGATCTGAAAAATCTTCAGATTAATCTGAACCATTTGGAGCTTTATTAATATTTCATATATGTTACAGATTATATGCTATCTAAAATTTATATTACTTTATTTAATTTTTAGGTATTTAAGAATTTTGAAAATTTACCTAACCTATATATCAACTTTTATTTAATACAATATGCAAAAATTATGTGATATTGTTGAATACTAGTATTAGAATAAAAGAGATAATTTATCAGATATTTAAATATGTTATATTACGAATAAACCTTAAAAATGTGAAGTTAGATCTATTGAAATACTATACTATATTATTTGCAATACTTTATTTATTAGATGGTGATATAGATTTACACTTTTCCTTTTCAAATGTTAGTTTTATAAATCTCTTATAACAGTTGCAGCATATGATGAATAACTGGTTTATCATAAAAGATAAAATTATTATTAAGAATAATATAAATGAAGGTAAATATGAAAGTATAATTATATTCTTATTAAAATTTACTAACGATTATTGTCTATTTATATCTTTAAAGTTGATTCTCTAGTTAAACACATTTTTAATATTATTTCTAAAAAACAAATTCCTTAAAGATATATCAAAGCATCAGAATTGATACTAGCTTACAAAAATTTAGGTGATCATTCTATGATTTCAAATAGTTCTCCAACATTTTTCAAGTATGTAAATTTTTTTATTAAAGAAGATGATGATAGTGTTTAATACTATTTACATATCGGAGATATTATCTTAATCAATAAGAGTTTGCAGATAATTTTGCGATTAAAGATGATCACTAAAATTAATAAAAATGGTATAATTAAGTTGCAACTTGTGGTGCAATTAAATTTCCTTATAGCATAATTAAGTTGCAACTCAATTGAAATTTGAAAATAATTATGGGAACCATTTTTATTTGCGATTATATAGGCAATATTTTATCATTAAAAAAATGACTATAATTTTGCATTCATAATAGTTAATAAGTTTGAAAATATCAATTGAACAAAACTAGGCTGCCCAGTTTACAGATTACAAATAACAAATAATTAATAAAAAATATTTCTGATTAGTATAGTTGATGCAGTTAACACTGTACATTTCATTCATAATTGTAAGAGTAATGAATGTGTTGAGAGAAATTATGATTTTAAAAACAATTTATATTTAAGAAATTTGTATTTTTTCAAGGCTGTTTAATATTAGTTGCTAATATTTTATTAATTCTTTATAATTTCAAAAATAAATTTTAATACAATTTTATTAATTCTGAAAATAAAATTTTAATATAAATTTAATAATTCTTTACAACTTCAAAAATAAAATTTAATAAAATTTTATTAATTCTGAAAATAAAACTTTAATACAAATTTAATAATTCTTTATATTTCAAAAATAAGATTTTATAATTTTTCTTAATATGCAGTAACTGGATGTAAGCAAATTTATTAATGAATTATTAACTAATTTTAAACAAATTATAATCAAATATTAACAATTATTATATAATTTGATTACTATTTGATTTTGAAATTAAATATTTCTGCAAAGTTATTATTTGAAAAGTTGTTGTTTGATGATAAAATTTAACTTAAGTATTTTTATTTTTAAAATAATTTTTTTTAGTATTTTAATGATATGTAAAAAAAAGAAAAAATTTGAAAATGATTGTAAAAAGATAAAATTTGAGTTAAATTTTATTTTTAAATAAAAAATTAAGCTTATTTATATAAATTTTATATATATATTAAAAATAAATTCAAATAGTACATTAAATTAATATTAATAAAATCATCTTTTAATTTGACAAGTTCTTTAAATATTTGATATTATTTTAGCAAATTGATTTAATTTAAAAGTTCAGTTTATTAAAATGATAATATATTAATTCAAATGAATGATAAAAAATCATTCAATTGGAATGATTAAATTATTATTCCAATTAAACAAAAATTAAAAAAATCATTTATTTAGAACAATTAAATTATCATTTTAAATAAACATTAAAGAAATCATTTGATTGAAATGATAAAATATCATTCAAAATAAACAATAATAAAATTGTTTAATTAGAATGATAATATATAATTATATTATAGTAATTATATAATTATGTAAAAATATAATTCATAATTATAATAATTAATTACATATTTTTTTAAAAAAATATGATAATTATATAATTAATTATAGAATAGTAAATAAGTATGAGATTGTAATTAATTATAAGATGGTAAATGATTATAGAATAGTACAGCCAACTTTTGTTATAATGAACTCTATATCCTAGACCTCAACTTTGCTATAAGGTTATAGTGAAGATTTAAGAGATTTGATTGGCCAATTCGC